TAACACTTGACCGGTTTAAATATGGCAGTAGATGTGAACATCGTGTAATATGGTCTACATATGAAAAACAAACAGAAATCTCCCTCTTTTGCATTTTCACCAATCAGTAACTGGTTTAAAGACTCTTTAGCCTCTTAGAGACAATCTGGGTCAGATGTGTCAGTTGCGGTGGTTGTAGATGGAACCTGGTTTACTGTGGTCCAAGTGAGACAATAAAAAAAAAAAAACAATGAAATTAGTATTTTCTGCATTTTCTCAAATAGAATAACGGTTCCACAGATTTGTAAGTGAGTTTTAGACAGCATTAAGGGTTTAACTGCCATGTCTAACACGGCTGTACATCTCTAAAACGTACCACTCAGCGCTGTGAGTGAAGTTTCCAGAGGTTTTCCTTCACTGTTCAATCTGAAGCTGTGACTCAGAAGCTAACTTCAAGATCGTTTGTCGCCTTCACCTTTAATTCGGTCTTTAAAGGTATGAAACGTAACATTTCTGCGTCAAAACGTGTAAAACCCACCAGAACAACGTCGTATAATTAGCTAACTTGTGTACTCACATCACCCCAGACGTTTCCAACGACGAGGAAAAATAAAAATAAATAAAAAATCCAAAATTTCATTCACTTTAATGGTAAAGTTTGGTCGCTTGTCAATGGCGTCACCGGCTGCAGCGCTTTGAAACACCACCGAAGAAGAAGGCGTCGCGAAAACTAGCTAGCTAGCTAACTAGTGTTTTTGTTTTGTTTTTTTTTGTTTTTTAATTATATATTTATAATTGTATTTAAAAATTATTGTGCATTCGTGATGAATTAGTTTAGTTTAGTTTAGTTTAAATTACAGTTCTTACCAGAGACAAGGGCGCCGAGCTGGCAGCAACTGAATTCACCTGCTAACGTTATTAGCTACAGTCGCGCTACAGGTCAGCGAAAGGTAAGTTAGCACTTAGCATTAGCTAAAATTACATTGAAATGACTTAACATGTAAATACGACTAATGTGAATTAAAGGTGGATGTGGTTTTGCTTCTAGCAGCAATAGTATTAAGGACCCGCTACTTTACACGTCATAAAACTACGTCTTTTGTTGTGTTTTTGTATAGAAACCACAAAATCACTAAGTTTAAGGAAGCACACTGCAAAATACAAACAACAGTCAAAACAAAGCTTCTGGTGCTCCTGGAGAAGGGCAGCTCCTGTTCAGGAGAATGTGGGAGGTTCTATCGAGCTGAGCCACTGGGCCCAGGTGTGGCTCATTCGTCTGATGACCTCAACTCGGCCTCTGAAAAAGAAAAGACAACAGGTGGAGAGTGGTCACAATACATTACAGGTGAGCCTACACATCATGACTGATACTGGACTTTTAAACAGTGGTGGAGTTTCATAACATCTAATCACACTTTAATTCTGGTATTTTTGCTCCAAATTTGGTAGAATTTGACTTTTTAAATCCTCAAAGAGAAAGTTTAAATATTCCCAAATTGTACACACCAATCTTCCAGTGTTGGTGGTGCTTGACTCTTTTTTTTTTTTTTTTTTAAATTGTCGTTAACAGTGTTGGCAGCAGCTTTATTTAACTCCTCTGTTTCCCAACCAAAGCCCAGATAGAAGCTCTTAAAGTTTTGAGGTGTTTTAGTCCTATCACCCTCAGTGTTTTGTGAATGCATTCAGTGCGTGTACTTTTTTATTTACAACAGACACAGGGTGTAATGTTGCCGTGGAGAGGTAGATGGCAACATGAGCCTTGTTTTATGTTTGTTTGGAAAATGAAGGAAGCCGAGTTGGCTGTTTGTTTTTGCTGTGAGTCACTGGACGCTAAAGAAATCCTAAAATCCTGATGATTCTCAGGCAGGTTGTGAACTGTTCTCCTCTCAGTTTGTTTTACATGATCTGGTTATTATGAGAAAACGATCTCATAATAAGGATCAGGAATGTAAGTGAGTGTCAGGTTCACATAATTACAACTCTTAGGAGATAATAGCCATCTTGACATACTTTAATTTCCAAAATATGAACAGATATGGGCTACAAATGAGGCTACATCTGCAGTAAACACTGTACGTATAGACAGGAGGGAACGCTTCAGTGCTTCATCTTTTTAAGGTTTCTAGTATCATCCAATTTTCCTCTTGTGTGAATCCACTGAACTTTCATACAGGCTTGATATGTGTATTTGATACCTAATGTAATGGCCAAAAAACATATAACAAGGGGAGATACTTCATTAACAGTTCTTGCATTTACTTTTGAATAAACACAGACATTTTTTATGTATTGATCTCAGAATTAAATCCTTGTATATCTTCCATGAAATGAGTGAAATTTAATATATAG